GGGGGGGGGGGGGGGTATTTTATTTTTTTTAATTCTTCCACATTGTGTTTTTATTTTCTGTAAGCCGCCTAGAGTCGCTGTGAGTGAATAGGTGGCTATCTAATTTTTCCAAAACAAATAAATGAAAAGGGATACTAAAAATAGCTGAAGAAAGAATGGTGGTTTAACTGAAATAGCCAAGCATTTCAGGCCAAATGTTTAAAAACCTGACTGTGGGCCACTGCAAGCTGTTGTAAATGCGAGCCAGTTGCCAAGTAGCCAAAATACAATCACATAACTGTGGTGTGGAGGGGTATTTGTGTGTGTCCATCAGTTGTGACTATGAGGATGGGTCATTATTACCTTTCTTGAAGTCTGTCATAAATTTGAATTGTCGTAAGTTGAGGGGACTACCGATAGTGAATTAAATAGCCTAGAAATCAAAATTTCATACCGTATTTTCAGCCCTGAATCCAAATAATGGTATTTTTCCACAATTAAAGAATGTGAAGGAATAATTCAAAGTTTGATATTGAAACCAAGTCCATATTTTCCCCCTTTTCTTGCTTTGCTCACCCACCCCCTTATTTACTTTTTTTTGCCTCTGTCTTCAAAGCTTTGTTTATATCTTTGTTGTTCTTGCAGAAAGTCTGGCTACCAGGAAAAAAAATTATCAGGAGGAGTTTAGAGCAGACCGACTTCAGGAGCCAACGCAGTGGGATATGTTATTTGATCCCCAAATTTCTGAACCAATGGAGGTCAAATCTAGAGGACAACAAGGGTTATTCCTGGAGCTCATGCAAGCTTCTAGGGCTGACAAGAAAATGCCCAATAGTAACTCCCAAGTAAGTTCTACTGTATCAAAAAGAAACTACCCTTGTTCTGAATGTGGGAGGAGTTTTGATCGCCGTTCCAACTTAATTAAACATCAACGAATCCACACAGGAGAAAAGCCCTACCCTTGTACAGAGTGTGGGAAATGCTTTGACCAGCAGTCCAATCTAAACGTCCATCTAAGGATTCATACTGGCGAAAAGCCATATGGCTGCCCTGATTGCGGCAAAAGGTTTAGTATCAAATCACATTTACATGGACACTATAGGATACACACAGGGGAGAAGCCTTACGAATGTGAAGACTGTGGGAAGAGCTTCCGTGTGAAATCTTCCTTAAATAAGCACCAGCGAACCCATACAGGAGCGGCCAAGCTCTCCAAACCACCTGAGATCAAATCAGAGGGTCCCCGGGCAATATTGCCAGAAGTGACACGGGTTTATGCAGCTCTCAAATCAGAAAAAATAATTAAAATTATGAGTAGGAAGCCCCCTATAGAAATCACGGTGTCAAACAAGAATTTTTCCTGTTCCGAGTGTGGGAAAGGATTCGATCGGCCTTCACATCTCATTACGCACCAGAGGATCCACACCGGGGAAAAACCGTATCCGTGCATTCAGTGCGGGAAACGTTTTCACCAGCAGTCTAACCTGAATGTCCATTTGCGTCTCCACACTGGGGAGAAACCTTATGGCTGTCCTGAATGCGGCAAAAGATTCAACATCAAATCCCATCTACATGGACACTACAGGATCCACACAGGTGAGAAGCCATTTGAGTGTGAAGACTGCGGGAAGAGCTTCCGGGTGAAATCTTGCCTAAATAAGCATCAGCAAGTTCATACAGGAGAAAAGCAATATAAATGACTGAGGAAAAAAAAAACCCTGAAGTTCTAACCTAATTAAACATCAGGTCATTCTGGAGAGAAAGATTACAATGCTCTGAACTTGGGGGGGGAAGCAACTTTTGCAACAGATGAGACTTTATCAAACATGAAACAATCCACGCAGGAGAAAATCCTTCTGTTTTCCTTCTGCAAGAAATAAGCACCTGAAAATCTACAGTGTCTTTGTGGGTGCTTAATCTGTGGGAAAATGTTCAGGATGGTAGTTCTAGCAGTGATTGGAAAGGGGTGGATTTGAACACACAACTGAGGCACTGATCATAGCAGCACAAAAACAGGCACTTAGTACATGATCCATAGAAACGAGTCTACTATCTAGGCAAATGTAGATTATGAAGACGGGTCTCAGAGACAGCCCAACACATAGTGTCTAGATACAACACATAAATGCAGGCAGAAAGAACACACTCTGAACAGCCCAACAAGAAAACTGGCATTGTGTACAGGAATATATGTGCAGTGTATGGGCCACATCCAGATGGGAGATTCAACAGAAGGTCATGAAAGAGATTAGGACTAAGATCCTGCGGGACTTCCAGATTGAGACAGATAGGCAGGTACTAGCCAATCAACCAGACATGATATTGGAAAAGGGTAGAAGACAGCAATGGTGATAGAGGTATTGGTACCAAATGACACCAATATGTGGGAGGAGCAGTATAAGAAATTAGAGAAGTTCCAGGGCCTGAAGAAGGAAGTAGAGGAGTTGTGGAAAGTCGAAATGGTCTCAGTGGTGGGAGGAGTGCCTGTGGCTATGACTGCTAAACTAGTATAATAGCTCCAACAGACCTCAGGATCAATGCCAGAGCTCTCTGTTCAAGAGTGTGCAGGGTTAGGAACAGCTAAGATCCTACGCAGGCCTTTGGTAGAGGACCAGAGATTGAAGGAAACACATATCACCATAGGGGTGAAAAGGGAAATAGCAATAGAACGTAGACTTATATACTGCTTCATATAGTGCTTTTACAGCCCTCTCTAGGGAGTTTACAGAGTCAGCCTATTGCCCCCAACAATCTGGCTGCTCATTTTACCCACCTAGGAAGGATGGAAGGCTGAGTCAACCTTGAGCCTGGTGAGATTTGAACTGCTAAGTTGCAGACAGCTGGCATCAGCAGAAGTGGCCTGCAGTACTGCTCTCTAAGCACTGAGCCACCTCAACTCACCTCATATGTATGCAGTGA